ATCCATCTTATCATGGATCTTCCCCTCTTGGGATGTCCCTCCATCCTTCCAAGTATGATGTCATTTTCCAAGGATTGCCCCCTCCTGCCAACATGCCCAAAGTATGTAAGACAGCTTCAGAATCCTTATCTCTAAGAAGCAGCTTAGTTTCTCCTTTTCTTGGACAGACCAGTTTGTTATTTTGGCAATCCATGGTATCTTGAATACTCTTCTCTAGCACCACAAATCAAAAATATCAATTCTTCTGTCATTCTTATTCATTGTCCAGCTTTGATATATTATATGTCAGGGACTGCTCCAAATTACTGAGAATCAATGATGTCAGTTTGGAGATTAGATTCAATTTAGTCTTTTGGGTTTTTTTTCAAGTCACAGTCTTTTCATTTATCTTACATACTTTGGGTCTATTGCTAAGAGAGGCTATTCCTTGGAAAGCGAAAACATGCTTTGAAAGACGGAGGGTCAGCGAAAGAGACGAAGACTCTTAGCCAAATGGACTGACGCAATGGACTACAGCAATGGGCTCAAGTGTATCAGAGACTGAGGTTGGCACAGGATAAGGAAAGGTTCAGATCTATTGTTCATAGGCTGCTATGAGCTGTACTCAACTTGATGGCACCCAACAAGTGGCTCCTCAGAGAAAGATGGGACATTTCCTCCACTTAATATTGATAGCCTTAACATTCCAAGGGGAAGATTGCTGAGTCAGAAATGACCCAATGACTGTGACTTTGAGTTTGTGATAACTAAGACACCCACTATCTAGATCATCACTAATAAAATTTTCCGCAAGGTTGGAAGTGTACTATAATAGGTGATGTCCAATAAGAGAGCCATTAGCCACAAATAGTGTTTGGGAGATTATGAATACCCTATATATACAATAGCTCTTTCTCTCAGCTAAGACATTATCTTTGTTTTCTAGTAACTGGCCTGAAAGCAGTTTTCGTCCTCTTCAAGTTGTCTGCCCATATTGACCTTGAAGTCATTACATGATTTTACTTCCATGCCCATATTGACCTTGAAGTCATTACATGATTTTACTTCCAGAAAAATGCCTGTTTCACACCTATTTTCTGGGAACGTAGCCCGAGTCTTTGTCTATGGACAGTCCTGTATATAACCTCCTTCTTAAGTGATTTTTGCAGACCCAAACCTGTCTAGACTGCTTTCTCTGGTCACAGTACTGATTTTCCTCATGCAAATAACTCCTTCCTCTCCTCATCCACCCCTCAAAACCCAAATCAGCATCTTTCAGCTTGACTTTGGATCAGTATTTTTCTCTCTTTACTAACACTTAGACTGAGGAACTTTCCCTTCTGAGTTTGAGCCCAAAGAAATAGCTAGTGAGCACTTGAAATGTAGCTAGTGCAACTGAGGACCTGAAATATTAATTTATTTAGTAGTTTCAAGAGGCGACTACTGTACTGGACAGCACAGGTTTGGAATTTCTCTCAAAGCATCAGCAATCTTTAAATTCACCTGTGTTCCTTATTTCATTCCTAGGGAAAGTAATTTTCTAGAAGCACATCAGCAGAGAATTGCCAGAAGTCCAGGCTAGGTTTAGAAGGGGTCATGGTACTAGGGATATTGTAGCTGATGTTAGATGGATCTT